TTGGGCAGACCAATTATTAGCCAGTCTTCCTGACCCTATTTCTACTAAAGCTTCTCAATCTATTATTGAATATCCATTATGTCTTTTCCCCTCAATTACCTGGGAGGAGCCATCTATAAATCAATGCCACCCCGTTTTGAAAGGGGTGTTTCCTAAATCTGGTCTGACTTTTGTGTGGTAGTTAATTAAATCTAAATATATGTGATCTCTTTTTAGGTTTGGATACCCTGTTAAAAAACCTGCTGGGTTGAGTGAGTTATCAGTGGTTAGTGTTAAATCATTTCTTTCTAATAGAATAGCTTCGTATTTTAAGATGCTTGAGTCAGTGAGCTACCTCCCTGCCTTTTGGTTTAAGATAGTTGTAACTTGACCCAGTTGTAATTGTAGACCCAGTACATAGTTGTAATTTAGATAGTTGTAATTTTAGGCCGGGCGCGGTGGCTCAAGCCTGTAATCCCAGCACTTTGGGAGGCCGAGACGGGCGGATCACGAGGTCAGGAGATCGAGACCATCCTGGCGAACACGGTGAAACCCCGTCTCTACTAAAAAATACAAAAAACTAGCCGGGCGAGGCGGCGGGCGCCTGTAGTCCCAGCTACTCGGGAGGCTGAGGCAGGAGAATGGCATAAACCCGGGGGGCGGAGCTTGCAGTGAGCTGAGATCCGGCCACTGCACTCCAGCCCGGGCGACAGAGCCAGACTCCGTCTCAAAAAAAAAGAAAAAAAAAAAAGATAGTTGTAATTTTAGACCCAGTACATGTGGGTCTGTACTGAACAAAGGAGAGTAAAGGTTTTTATTCCTAACACAGTCCCTGCTTCTGTGTCATTCCCTATTGGCTGGAGTCAGACCACACAACCCAAACTAGTCCCGATTGGCTAAACACTTAAACCTTCTATGTCAGGCAGATGTGTGATGGGGGAGAAGGAGGGAAGGGAAGAGGGCTGCTTGTGGATGGGAGAAAGCTAACCTTTTTCTGAATAAGGAAAGGAATGTAGAATGAGGCTGAGACATGTCTAGGCATGTCAGGGCACAGCAATAGCAGGAGGACTGTTTGCAGGCTAGAAACAAGGAAGTACAAGAAGGTTGGGCCTCTGAACAAAGAACAAGGGCATTACACAATTAAACCTTTTGAAGAGGAATTTATAATCTCTGGCATTAATTAATGGTGTAGTTAGTTCCATATATTGCCAGACCTTACCAATTGTGAAGCCAGCAAGTCCAAGAATTCTCAAAACCCCCAAAGTAGTTAATAACCTTAAAACTTTTAGCAAATCTTAACTCCAACCTGCATAATTTAGCTCACCTATTTACTTCTTAGTGACACCTGCATTTTACTGGTAATTTTTAAGGCTGTTTTTATTTCGCAAAGTTTAAAGTCATGTGCACTGAAAGTACCACAGCTTTTATCTTCCCCTTTAAAAATTACTTGATCCAAGCACTTATCTTTAGGACAAATTAATTAAAGCTCTTTTTACAGACATCACACACAGTATACACACAGATAGGCAGAAGGAAACCCAGTCCCTGGGTGAGTTCTTTTAAGAGACAGGGCTAGGAGAGCATGTAGATATCTAACCTGATAGGGCTCATCACCTAAGGCAGGGCTTCTAAATAAAGCCTTTGTAATGCAATGGGGAGCCGAGCAAGAAGACAGGAGGCAGATGAGAACAGAGGTAGCCTTTATTGAGCTCACGGGAGAGGTTCACCGGTCCCCTAGGAGGAGGGCCGGGGAAGTTATGCTGGGGGCGGGTATGGGGGCCTTTTATAGGGCGAGGTAGGCGGGGTTTGTAGGTTTCCGTTTTCCTGGGTTAGGTTTGGATTTCTGAGGAATGACGTGTCCAGGAGTTTGCGCAGAGCGGGGGGTGTTTGGGGGGCATGGGTTTTTTTCACGCACTGAGAGTCTTAGCAGGAAGTGAAGGGTGGGAAGTCCTAACAAAGGGCCTGCCATGCCCGGCGATACCGCCGTTTTGGGTCTAGATTCCTGCCTAACAGCCTTGTCATTGCAAGGCTGGCCATGCCCCCAGTATGTAAAGCAAGAAGGAGGCCTGCAGCACAAACCATACAGACATGCAAAGCACACCAGATTGGCTATAGTCCAAGACTAGCCCCACAACTCCTTTTTCACAACAGAAACTTTAGAGAGTACAGTTATAGTTGGGGGGCCTGACCTTGTAAAAGTGTCCTCTAAAAGGAAAAAAAAAAATTTAAAGGTTAACTGCTGATGGGGTAGAGAAGGGGATAAAACAAAATCGGTTTAAAATGCCTGGGGAAAAACCTCTTATTCTTATGAAAGTGGATGTTTCACTAGGTGAAAAGCTTAATTTTCATCCAATAAAGTTGAAGCCCTTGCGTGGGAAAGGGGAAGGCCACGGTGGCTTGTGGCTAGGAGCCAGCCAGCTGGCTGTGCGGGACCCTTAGGCCATGAGTCCCACCCCTGCATGGAGGGGAGGCAGAGTGAGGAGACCCCACTTGCCTGTCCCTCTTAAAATAGAAAGAAAAGGCCCTTTCCCCTGACCCTTAGAGTGACAGGGTTTGGAGGCATGTTTTCCCCACCCTTAGAAGTTGGAGGATGAAAATCCTTAGGAGCAACCGTGAGAGGTTTTGAGTCCCCATTTTATTCACCTCTTCTTGAGCCCCCATATTGTGTGCCAGAATTGTTGCAGGACTCTTCGTTAGTTCAGCTAAAGACCGTGTTCTTATCCCACCCATGTCCATAAAAATTTAGGCTCACAGATGGTTTAGAGGATGAGTTTTATTGGGTGAAATCAGGGTTTTATTGGGTGAAAAGCAAAAAAAAAAAAAAAAAAAAAAAAAAAAAATAGGGGAAAACAAGATCCTCCACAAAGTCAGAGTCCTCTGCTAGAGCACTTCCTGTCGACCATTCAAATCTCAGGTTCCACACAGGAAGAGGAAGGTCCAGGCTCCTCTTTGATGCAAAAGTTGTGAACTTCCCAAGGCTCCACCTCAGTGGGCAGACTGGTGGGAGTTTCTCCAGGGAACTACTTCCCACCTGCCTGTCTCATTTTCACACTGTAATCAAGATACTTTTTTTTTTTTTTTTTTGTCTAGCTTTTCTTACTATCTATTCATCTATACTCACATTTGTACTTGTTCTGAAAGATCACAGTTACCCAGGCAGGTAATTAAATCTGCACTAATGCAACAAGGCAGCTTTGATACAACCTTTTGAATGCCCTACAGAATTTCAATTTTATGAAGCATTCAACGATGTGCCCCAAATTCATTTTCTTTCCTTTTTCTTACTTGGGAGATTGCATTTTTTTTCACTAATCTATTATTTGTTCACTTTGATATTTATTACCCTACTCTATATAGTATGTTATAATTTTTATGTATAACTCTTATAATTTATCAGTGTTTATTATTTGTAGATGCTATGTTCTGAGTATTTGGGTCCTCCTAAAACTCATAAGTTGAAAGCTAATCACCAATGTGAAGGTATTACGGGATGGAGCCATTCATCAGGAGGTGATTAGTTCATGAGGATGGAGCCATAGCGTATGGGATTGTGCCCTTATAAAAGGCTCCAGAGAACTGCCTCGTCTCTTCAACCATGGGAGCGCACAGCAAGAAGCTTCCATCTATAAACTGGAAAATGGGCCCTCACCAGACACTAAATCCATTGATGCCTGAACTTCCAGCCTCCAGAACTGTTGAAACTGGCTTAATTGCCCCATGTAAGATGTTTTTGATAAATATAGAAATTGCCCCTCCCAGTCTTAAAGGTTGAAACTATATTTATCTTATCTTAAAGGTTGAGTTCCTTCCTCAGGAAATTGACCCTCAGGCTTACCATATAGTATCAAGGAATTGAAACTTCTCTTCCTTACCTCTTCTTAATTCCTGTTTTCCTAAGCAACCTCTTACTTCCTATGGCCAATTCCTCTTCTTTACTCCTCCCTAATTCCTGTTTTCCTGCATGTAGTTATTCTTTCCCCAGTATATAAATCCCCAATTTTAGTCATCTGGGAATCCGGATTTGAGACTGATCTGTTCTCCTCAGCTGGAGAACCCTAATTAAGCTTTCTTCCCTGCCAATACTTGTCTCACAGAAGCCAAAGTGATTGGCTTTCTGTGTAGCAAGCTCTGGGACCTAGAACAGACCTCTGTCATTTCGGTAACACTGTAAGAAATAAATTTCTCTTGTTTATAAGTCACCCAGTCTAAGGCATTTTGTTATAGCAGGCTAAACGGTCTAGGACAATAAAATCAGTGTTCTTTTTGAGGCGGGTATTTCCTTGTCCTAAAGACATTGTTGAAGTAAATGTTCATTTGTATGCGATTCTCTTGCAACATTTCTTTACGTCAAAGTCACGGTAGTTAGTATTTTTTAATATTTACATGTATAGAACACATACTTCTTTTAACTTCTTTTTTTTTATTATACTTTAAGTTCTAGGGTACATGTGCACAACATGCAGGTTTGCTACATATATATACATGTGCCATGTTGGTGTGCTGCACCCATTAACTCATCATTTACATTAGGTATATCTCCTAATGCTATCCCTCCCTACTACCCCCTCCCCACAATAGGACCCGGTGTGTGATGCTCTCCTTCCTGTGTCCAAGTGATCTCATTGTTCAATTCCCGCCTATGAGTGAGAACATGCGGTATTTGGTTTTCTGTTCTTGCGATAGTTTGCTGAGAATGATGGTTTCTAGCTGCATCCATTCCCTACAAAGGACATGAACTCATCCTTTTTTATGGCTGCATAGTATTCCATGGTGTATATGTGCCACATTTTCTTAATCCAGTCTGTCACTGATGGACATTTGGGTTGATTCCAAGTCTTTGCTGTTGTGAATAGTGCCACAATAAACATACATGTGCATGTGTCTTTATAGCAGCATGATTTATAATCCTTTGGGTATATCCCCAGTAATGGGATGGCTGGGTCAAATGGTATTTCTAGTTCTAGATCCTTGAGGAATCGCCACACTGTTTTCCACAATGGTTGAACTGGTTTACAGTCCCACCAACAGTGTAAAAGTGTTCCTAAGCTGTACTTCTTGGCTGGCCTATCAATATAGATCCCTTTAATTTGACTTATTAAAACCATCATTGTAGCCACAGGTCACCTAATTGTTTATTGTTATTTTATTTGCTCTGAATTCTTAGTAGAATCAGGATTTTTCTGATTTTTGCACATATTGGAGCAGATATGTATCTTGAATTTATAAAGTTCTGTCTATAATCCTTCATGTATTCAGTCACGTTTGGTTCTTTTGTTTATTACTCACAAGGTTCTGTATTCTATAATAGAGTGAGTGAGAAAACCACTTTTGCATAGTTAGCTCTTCTTTCAATCTTGAAGTGTGATAGTCATTTTCAAGTTTTTTCTGCTCTATGAAGAATATTGAGGTTTGCTGCAAATCCACTTGATATCAATAAATCCTCTGGAACTATGGACTCCATCAGCACTCAAGAAAGCAAAGGATCCGTTCCCTATAATTTCAAACCTGAAAAAGAACACTCTAAATCAGTCTGGGAACCACTTACAGTTGTAATCAAAAATACAATTAAGAATAAAGTGATTTTAAATATATTATACCAAATACTGAGCTCCCAGAAAATATACCCACCCATCACCATATGCTACATTAAAATATCTGGCATATTAAGGGAAATAAGACTGGACATAAGTGTTTGTTGGAGTTAAAATCTGTAACCCTACTTAGAACAACTTGTAGATAGGTAGATAGACACATATAGATACACAAAGACAGGGGTAAGACCCTTCTTTCCTTCTATTCTTCCTTCCTTGCTTGCTTCTGTTCTTCCTTCCTTTCTTCCTTTCTTCTTTCTATCTATATGCAAAGAAAGAGAGAGTTGCCAAATTCAAAGATTCCTGAAATTTAAGATATCAGTTTTCTGGCATAATTTTAGTAAATGTACTTTTTCAAAGAGTAAAAATAAGATTTATATTTGCTTGGTACTTTTGAAACATACTGCAATAGAAACCTAAGAGACTGCTGACAATATTGTTTTTTACATTTCATCCTCATGGATAGAAAGAATCAATATTGTGAAAATGGACATATTGCCCAAAGTAATTTATAGATTCAATGCAATTCCCATCAAACTACCTTTGACATTCTCCACAGAATTAGAAAAAAACTACTTTAACTTTCATATGAAACCAAAAAAGAGCCTGTATAGCCAAGACAATCCTCAACAAAAAGAACAAAGCTGGAGGCATCATGCTACCTGACTTCAAACCATGCTACAAGGCTACAGTAACCAAAACAACATGGTACTGGTGCCAAAACAGACATATAGACCAATGGAACAGAACAGAGACCTCAGAAATAATGCCACACATCTACAGCCATCTGTACTTTGACAAACCTGACAAAAACAAGCAATGGGGAAAGGATTCCCTATTTAATAAAGGGTGCTGGGAAAACTGGCTATCCATACACAGAAAACTAAAACTGGACCCCTTCCTTACACCTTATACAAAAATTAACTCAAGATGGATTAAAGACTTAAATGTAAAACCCAAAACCATAAAACCCCTAGGAAAAAACCTAGGCAACATCACTCAGGACATATGCATGGGCAAAGACTTCATGATGAAAATGTCAAAAGCAACAAAAGCCAAAATTGACAAATGGGACCTAATTAAACTAAAGAGCTTCTGCACAGCAAAAGAAACTATCATCAGAGTAAGCAGGCAACTAACAGAATGGGATAAAATTTTTGCAATCTACCCATCTGACAAAAGTCTAATATCCAGAATCTACACGGAACTTAAATAAATTTATAAGAAAAAATAAACATCAAAAAGTAAGCAAAGGATATGAACAGACCGTTCCCAAAATAAGACATTTATGCAGCCAACAAACATGAAATAAAAAGCTCAACATCACTGACCATTAGAGAAATGTAAATCAAAACCACAATGAGATACCATCTCATGCCAGTCAGAATGGCAATTATTACAAACTCAAAAAACTATAGATGCTGGTGAGGCTGTGGAGAGATAGGAATGCTTACACACTGCTGGTGGGAATGTCAATTAGTTCAACCATTGTAGAAGACAGCGTGGTGATTCCTCAAGGATCTAGAACCAGAAATACCATTTAACCCAGCAATCCCATTACTGGATATATACTCAAAGGAATATAAATCATTCTATTATAAAGACATATGCACACATATGTTGATTGCAGCACTATTTACAATAGCAAAAACATGGAATCAACCCAAATGGAAATCAAAGATAGACTGGTTAAAAAAAATGTGGTACATATACACCATGGAATACTATTCAGCCATAAAAAAAGAATGAGTTCATGTCCTTTGCAGGGACATGGATGAATCTGGAAACCATCATCCTCAGCAAACTAACACAGGAACAGGAAACCAAACACTGAATATTTTCACTCATAAGTGGGAGTTGAACAGTGAGAACACATGGACACAGAAAGGGGAACAACACACACTGGGGGCAGAAGGGGGTGGGGGAAAGGGGAGGAAGAGCATTAGGACAAGTAGCTAATGCATGTGGGGCTTCAAACCTAGGTGATGGATTGATAGGTGCAAGAATCCACCATGGCACACACATACCTATGTAACAAACCTACACATTCTGCACTTGTATTCCAGAACTTACAGTAAAATAAAAAATATACATTTTTTAATTAATTTTCTTTGTTGATAACCAAATCTTTTCTTATTTATAAGTATAATTTGTCCTGTCTTGCATATTTCAATATTTGTTTTATTGGTTGCTTTTTTTAAATTTAGCACTTTACTAAAATAATAAGGCAGAGATATATATGTATCCAAGAAACAGTTACATAAATAAAAATTTTAACTAAATAAAAAATAAACAAAAATTTAAAAAATAAATATAATATTGCTTATGATGAACATTTGGAAAGCTAAAGACAACTACACAATCCTCAACCATTTTAATCCAAGAAATACTTTCAACAATTTTGCCGGGCGCGGTGGCTCACGCTTGTAATCCCAGCACTTTGGGAGGCCGAGGCAGGTGGATCACCTGAGGTCGGGAGTTCAAGACCAGCCTGACCAACATGGAGAAACCCCGTCTCTACTAAAAATACAAAATTAGCCGGGGTGGTGGCACATGCCTGTAATCCCAGCTACTCAGGAGACTGAGGCAGGAGAATCGCTTGAACCCGGGAGGCAGAGGTTGCGGTGAGCCGAGATCGCGCCATTGCACTTCAGCCTGGGCAAAAAGAGCGAAACTCTGTCTCAAAAAACAAAACAAAGAGCGAAACTCTGTCTCAAAAAACAAAACAAAACAAAACAAAAAAAACAATTTTAACCTACCCAGGAAATGCTAACAGAAATAAAAATAAATAAAATAAGCAACCAATAAATAAAAATAAATAGTATTCATTGTGGTGGGCATTTGAAATGTTAAAGACAACTATAAAGTCTTTAACCCTTTAAAGACAAAGAAATCTTATAGAAACTTTAGTTGGAAAGAAGTACAAGTAATACATGAGTTTTGACTTAAAATTTGCAGAATGATTAAATTTGAATTAGCAAAAGAGCACTAATTGTCAAGCAAGAGCTTGACAATAAAGATAAAATAACAAATAAAAATAAAAATGGAAAATTTCACTGTGTGTTATTTAACAAGGTGAGAAGAAAATGGGTTGCTCTAGGGTGTGCTTCAATGTGAACGGGCCTATGTCATAGATTGGAGACTGAAAAGTTAATTACACATAGAAAATAGATTTGTTTATAATAATACAACTCAAAATGCTTTAAATTTTTTCATAAGACACACCAGAATTAGAACATTCCTAATACATTGGAAACTCACCAATCATTGAATGTGGTGCCATTTGTCCATTTCCAAGAATCTCCTTGTTTCCTGCTTAGTCCAATCCAGTGCATATCAGTTCCTGCATACCTCTTCAAAAATTCCTTTCACAAAGCAAAGGGAATCAGCGATGACTTAATATGTTACAGCACATTGCTGAACATGCTTCCCACCCCAATTATTCTATCTTTTAGGATTCACATTCTAATTTGTCTTCCCTGATGCTTCTGTAACAACAAACGGCACAGATGTTGATATTTGGGTTAGTTTTATCAGAATGATTTTCATTTTGCTTTTTTGCATCTTAAGTATCTCCAAATAGTTGGGCTACAATCAAGTCATTGACACTCCGAGCTACACTCTGATTATCTTTAAAGGTAACCCCCATGTCTCAAGTGAGAAATTAAGGAAAAACCATATTTAACTTTATTTCCTTCAAGTTCAAATTCCTAAACCATTCATATGTTCTAGTCACAGAGTGAATGACATAGGCTATAAATTAATTTGATGTTAAATTTGCCTAGATGACAATATAGGACCTAAGCAGGTTCTATGAGATCTCACACAGCATCATCTTCAAGGATGATAGAGAACTAATGCTTATATATATGTTTTGTGTGCACAGGCACTTTTCCTAAAATCATAAAAAAAGGATGCAGGGGGAGTAGTTTAATGGAAAGTATAAATACTATGAGAATAGGGAAATCCAGTGATAAAATACTTTGATTAGATACTACAGTATGAATGCCACTGATATTGTATTTTTTAAATATAATAAGAGATAAAACTAACTTCTATATGAATATAATTTACTGCAATGAAATCTATTAAGTGATGGGTTTAGTCACTCCTCTGTTGGATTTTTGCTGTTAAGTGACAAACCTTTTCATTAGCTTTTTGTTCTTTTAACTTTTATTTTAGGTTCTGGGGTATATGTGAAGGTTTGTTACATAGGTAGACTTGTGTCATAAAGGTTTGTTTTACAGATTATTTCATCACTCAAGTATTAAGCCCATTAACCAATAGTTATATCTGTCATATCTGCCATCACATAGTTCTGGGTTATTTATAGCAGTGTGCTAATTGAGATCAATAGGAGAGAACTGGAAAGTTTTTTATGTACATCATTTACATAGGCACTGAACAAACTTCTGTCTTAAACGAACAATTAACTAATTACAAGCAAGTCTTACCCAATCCAAATAGAAACTGTCAGTACTAACTTTAGATCAAAAATAAAAGTAGACAGACTGATTAGTTTAGAAAAGATATTTAAAAATTAACTCATCCATAACAAAAGAATCATAAATCAATCATGTAAACACCACTGCAACCACTGTAGTTCTGCTTTTAGCTCTTTGAGGAATTGCCACACTGCTTTCCACAATGGCAGAACTTATTTTCACTCACATCAAGAGTGTATAAGTGTTCTTTTTCTGTAACCTCGCCAGCATCTATAGTTTGGGACTGTTTAATAATATCCATTCTGACTGGTGTGAGATGATATCTCGTTGTGGTTTTGATTTGCATTTCTCTAACCATCAGTGATGTTGAGCTTTTTTTCATGTTTGTTAGTGGCATGTATGTCTTCTTTTAAAAAGTGTCTGTTTATGTCCTTTGACCACTTTTAATAGGGTTGTTTTCCTCTTGTAAATTTAAGTTCCTTATAGATGTTGATATTAGACTTTCAGCAGATGCCGAGCTTGCAAAAGTTTTCTCCCATTCTGTAGTTTGGCTATTTACTGTGCTAATAGTTTCTTTTGCTGTGCAGAAACTCTTAAGTTTAATTAGATACCATTTGTCAATTTTTGCATTGTTTTTTAAATCATTGCTTTTGTTGTCTTTATCATGAAATTTGCCTGTTTCAATGTCCAGGATGGTATGGCCTAGGTTTTCTTCTAAACTTTTTATAGTTTGGGGTTTTGCATTTAGGTCTTTTATCCATCCTGAGTTGATTTTTGTGTATGGTATAAGGAAGGAGTCTTACTTCAATCTTTCGCATATAGCTAGCCAGTTATTCCAGCACAATTGATTAAATACGGAGTTCTTTTTCTATTGCTTCTTTTTGTCAGCTTTGTCAAAGATCAGATGGTCATAGCTGTGTGGCCTTATTTCTGGGCGCTCTATTCTGTTCCATTGGTCTATGTGCCTGTTTTTGTACCTGTACCATGCTGTTTTGGTTACTGTAGCCCTGCAGTGTAGTTTGCAATCAGGTAATGTGATGCTTCTAGCTTTATTCTTTTTGCTTAGCCTTGGCTATTTGGGCTCTTTAATGATTCCATATGAATTTTAAAATAATTTTTTCTTTCTAGTTATGTGAAGAATGTCATTGGTAGTTTGATAGGAATAGCATTGGATTTCTGTCATTCCAGCCAGTTCAGCCTGGTTAAGAACTCTTGTTGGAGAACTGGTACAGTTGTTTCGAGAACATATGACACTCTGGCTATTTCAGTTACTATTAATTCTCTCTCATCACTGCATGTGGGTGTTACTTTACCTGCAGTGTATATTAAGTACAGTCAATAGACCTCTTTTCTGTATGTTTTCACAGGGCTGAAACTTTGGGCAGGGTCTTTATTTAAAGGTGACTTGTCTTTGGTTTTAGAGGGATTGTATTAGTCAGACATTTTTGGTGTTGAAGCTTTGAGGTGTGATCCAGGAGGTGGCGCTTGGACATATTTGTCAGTTGGGAGACTCTTGGATTGTGTGGCTCCCTTATGTTTCCTCACAGTTGCAGCTCTGTTCTCTCTCAATGTCCTGAAAATGTGGGTTTCTCTCCCTCTTGGGTGCTGGCTGTAGATTGCGGCTTGGCACTCTTAGGCTGCCCACTGCAGCTCTTGGGTTATCAAAGTGTTTGTTTCTTCCCCAACTTGGAGGCAGCAATGGAAGAGACCTTAGTAGTGGTTAAGGCCAATGGTCTTTGGCTTTTCTCCTGGGAGCTTCACTCCAGAGAGATGCAACTAAGCAATCATTCAGTGCAATCAGCCCAGGATGGAGGGTCTGTGCTGTGGGCCCATGCTGGGGGTTCCATGTCTGGTGATGAACAAGGTGGGCGGGCAGAGCCTGTGGAGATGGACTGGCCTCTTCTCCTGCAACTTGTTGGAGATGTGGATGAGAGACTTAGAGTCTTGGCTCCTTCATTAGTCTGAGGGCAGCAAGGGCAGTTCCAGTGCAGAGGCAGCGGCAGAGGGGTATTCAGTTGCCTCTGGAGGCTCTGTCTAGGACATTCCAGAGCTGCTACTGACTCAATAGCTCTTGCAAGGGGGGGCTGGAGGCCCAGGCCTGGAGGACCCTCCTGGTGAGGAGACAAGGAGATGGGCACCCATGTAACGGTCTGGCCACTTTATCACAGGCCTGCTGTGGTATGCTGGTGGCCATCTGCAGTCCCTATTCACCTCAGATTTTCTGATCCCTGTAGATACCAACAGTGAAGCCTGCAAAACAGCAAAGAAGGTGGCCTGCCCCTCCCTCTGTGAGCTCTGTGTCAGGGAGGCACACACCTATTACTGGCCCAAACACACTTGTAGGAGGCGGCTAAAGACCCTGGTTGGAGATCCTGTAAAGTGAGGAGGAATGGGATTTGTTACCCACTTACAAGAGCAGTCTGGCCACTTTTTTGTAGAGCAGCTGTGCTGTATTGGGGTGCCACTTCCGCCCCTGGTCAACGTGGATTCTCCAAACCCTGAAGGCTGGATGGCTAAGTCACCTAAACAGCAAAGGTAGTGGCCTCCATCTCCCTCTAGGAGCTGTTTCAGGGAGGTGCAATGCTGTTATTGATGGCTGGCTAGAACTCCAAGCTAGCGGGTCCTATCCTGTGAGTTGCCATGGAAGAGGGTCCTACAGAATGTCACTGCTGAGCCCCCTGGATTCAGCTCCTTTACTAGGGATGTGTCAGGGGGTCTGACCTCCCTCTTGGCTGGAGTTGCAACTACTTTTGCTGGGAAGCCTGGAAAGCCTGGCTATCTAAGGCTCCCGGGTCTCTGCATGTGCCTGAGCAGCTGCTCTCCTGAGGCTCCGCTTAGCTCTGTGTGTCAGACTGAAGGCCCTGGTGGAGCTGGTTCACAAGGGGAGCTCCCGACCTGAGGGTTGCAAAGATCCATGGGAGCAGCATGGGTTCCAGGGGTTGCACATTCACTCACCACTTCCCTGGGCAAGGGGAGGTTCCCCTGGCTCCATGTCACTCCCAGGTTGGCCATTCACCTGCTTTGCTTTTCTCCATTGTCCATGGATTGAGTTGTTTCCTTGATTAGTTCCATTGCATGTACCCTGGATGTTTCAGTTCAAAGTGCTGTATTTACTCACATCTTCAGTTCCTCTCTGTGAGAGCCTTGCACACCAGCTACTTCTAGTTGGTCATCTTGGCCACTCCCCAATCCCCAGCTATTCTTTAAAAACTAATCTATTTTCCTACTTTGTGTCCCGAGAGTCCACATGTCTCATTCTTTGCCCTCTTTACTTCCATTAATTCACTTGCTTCTTCAAAGGGCACATATTTCCTTCATATCTTTGTCCCTAAATTCCAAGAGCTGTATTTTTTTATTTTAATTTTTTCTGTCTATGCTTGGTAGAATGCAAATTGGAAAGGGTTAAAAAATAATCGACTTAATAATCTAAGAACATTTAATGAAGACATTTAGACACATAAATAGTATGCATTGTGGTAAAGGACATGGCATTACTAGTCATCTTGCCTGGGTTCAAATCCCAGTTCAAAAACTTATGGCTGTATCATTGACTAGGTTATATAACATTTCTGTGACTGACTTTCCTCATCTTTAAAGCAGGAAGAGTTATATAACTCCTTCATGGGTGTTGGTAGATTACATGAGTTTTTATAGTTTCAGTGCTTAGAACACTGTTTAGCACATATTGTCAAATACAGTTGACTCAATGTGGCAGTTAGGGGCACTGACTCCCTGTGTCATCAAAAGACTGTATATAACTTGACTCCTCAAAAGTTAACCATGCTGGGCAACAGTAGCTCATGCTAATTCTAGCACTTTGGGAAGCTGAGGCAGTATGATTGCATGATCCCAGTTTGAGACCAGCCTGGGCAACATAGTGAGACCTCATCTCTACAAAAAATAAACAAAATTAGCCAGGCAAGGTGGTGTACACCTGTAGTCCTAGCTACTCAGGAGGCTGAGGTGGGAGGATTGCTTGAGCCGAGGAGTTCAAGACTGCAGTGAGCTGAGATTGCACCACTGCACTACAGCCTAGATGACAGAATGAGAACCCTGTCTTAAAAACAAACAAACAAAAAACAAAAACAGAAAACTTAGCCACTAGTAGCCTACTGTTGACTGGAAGTCTTACCGATAACATAAAAGTAAATTGACACATATTTTTATGTTATTTGAATTATATGCTGTATTCTTACCATAAAGGAATCTAGAGAAAAGAAGATGTTATTAAGAAAATCGGGCCGGGCACGGTGGCTCACGCCTGTAATCCCAGCATTTTGGGAGGCCGAGGCAGGCAGATCGCAAGGTCAGGAGATCGAGACCATTCTGGCTAACATGGTGAAACCCCATCTCTACTAAAAATACAAAAAATTAGCCGGGCGTGGTGGCGGACGCCTGTAGTCCCAGCTACTCGGGAGGCTGAGGCAGGAAAATGGCATGAACCCAGGAGGCGGAGCTTGCAGTGAGGCGAGATCGCACCACTGTACTCCAGTCTGGGTGACAGAGCGAGACCCCATCTCAAAAAAAAAAAAAAAAAAAAAAGAAATTCGTAAGAAAGAGAAAATATATTTACTATTCATTAAGTGAAGGTGAGACATCATAAACATCTTCATCCTCGTTTTCATATTGAGTAGGCTGAGGAGGGGGAGGAAGAGGAGTGGTTGCTCTTGCTGTCCTCTCAAGGGTGGCAGAGGGAAGAAAATCCATGCATAAGTGAACCCACACCGTTCAAACCTATGTTGTTCAGGGATCAATAGTATTATAGTATTAGCTATTCTTGTTTTTATCATGTTTTTATACAAACAATCTCCGAAATTACTGAAGACTTTTCTCTTTTCTTACCATATCTTTTTGTGTATCAATCTGAGCAAGTTCTGATTTCTGCAAACTGCAAAATATTTTACTGGCTGTCCAATTTCTGGTATCATCAGAAAAATAGAAACACTTTTCTCTCACTGCAAGCCAGTCGCCTGAACATGCCACACGTTTATCACATTTTGGCCATTTGACTGAAAAAAAGAAAGAAATGATCAGATAAAGCACAAGTTAAAAACTGTTTCTACTCATTCTGTGTATTAATTTTACTTTTTGCTCCCGTGGTTTGAGGCCTGTAAGTTAGCTTCACCCCTAGACTAAGGATGAATTAATTTCCCCTGTCTGTAAGCAAGATCATTTAGTGATCAAGCAATACATATTTTATCTATTTTCCTGGTTTCTATTTTGAGAAATGGAACCACTAGCTTCTCATAATCTGTACTGACATCCTGGCAAAAACAATGCACACAATTTAGCTATAAGTTATGCAATCAAGGTAGATTGGAGATCTGCATGTAATTTATGCTTCAAAGGTTAGGATAAGAAATGGAGGCTTTCCTTTACCTATGAAAATACCCAAGCTAGGAAAGTGAAATTTGCCATAAAGGACAGCACATAGGTGAAACATAAGAATTAGTGAAACATTTGTTTCATTTCATTAACATCCAGTGCTGAAGAATATGGAATAATAATGAAAAGCACATTGTTTGGAGATTTACTGTCTCATGGTTTTATTTAGGTGCTAAGTATTTAGAATAAGACAAGTCCATGCATTCCACATGTTTGAATAAATTCATGTGAATAGTAAAGAGTCAAGTAACTTCTCAAATGTAGGGCAGACTCCAAAGGCTGCACTCCCTACTTCATCATGAGTTATTATTATTGCTTATTGTAGTGCTCAGAAGTGGATACACGCTATTACAGAGCATATACAATATAACGTGTTTCAACTCTATCTCTCTCTGCTCTTTTTTTTAATTTAAACTTTAAGTTCTGGGATAAATATGAATAATGTGCAGGTTTGTTACATAGGTATACATGTGCCATGGTGGTTTGCTGCACCTATCAACCCGTCATCTAGGTTTTAAGCCCCACATGCATTAGATATTTGTCCTAATGATCTAGCTCCCCTTGCCCCCTACCCCTGACAGGCCCCGGTGTGTGATGCTCCCCTCCCTGTGTCCATGAATTCTCATTGTTCAACTCCCACTTATGAGTGAGAACATGCGGTGTTTGGTTTTCTGTTCCTGTGTTAGTTTGCTGAAGATGATGGCTTCCAGCTTCATCCATGTCCCTGCAAAGGACATGAACTCATTCTCTTTTATGGCTGCATAGCGTTCCATGGTGTATATGTGCCACCTTTTCTTTATCCAGTCTATCATTGATGCACATTTGACTTGGTTCCATGTCTTTGCTATTGTAAATACTGCTGAAGTAAACATATGTGTGTGTGTGTGTGTCTTTGTAGCAGAATGATTTATAATCCTTTGGATATATACCCAGTAATGGGATTGCTGGGTCAAATGGTATTTCTGGTTCTATAACCTTGAGGAATCACCACGCTGTCTTCCACGATGGTTGAACTAATTTACAGTCCCAACAGTGTAAGTGTTCTTATTTCTCCACTGTCTTGCCAACATCTGTTGTTTCCTGACTTGTTAATAATCACCATTCTGACTGGTCTGAGATGGTATCTCATGTGGTTTTGATTTCATTTCTCTACTGACCAGTGATGATGAGCTTTTTTTCATATGTTTACTGGACACATAAATGTCTTATTTTGTCTTTCTGCTCTTTTTAATCAGTGAATAAATGATATAAAAACTTCTTGTAGAAACTCTTGTCTATATTTAACTTCCACATGTTTAGACAGCAATAACATTAACCTTTAAGAATACACTGACAGAAAAGACTATAAACAAGAAAACTATAAGTATTCTTGAGAATGATCGAAACCAGACTCATCCACATCAAACAAAACCAACCACACCAAACCAAACCAAAACAAAACAAACAGTGCTACCTAGCCAAATTTAAGTGCTAAATTAAGCATAGCATGCACATGGAAAATTAAGTGCTGGAGACTATTTGGCCATGGCTCAGGAATTAAATTCTACCTTTGGATCCTTTTTACAAAATAAACCCATAGTAGCTAGAGGAATTGTAACAACTTCATCTTTACACATATTGCAACTTTAATGAGACAGTCTGGCAACAGGGCACATATGACATTATTTCATTGTTTTTCATGAAACAATATGACAGTAAAGGATTTCAGAACTGAAATATGTCAGTCTGGCATATAAACTCTTTGGAGTTAAAGGCGCTTTTAAAACAGCAGATGCAAGACAAAACACTCTGAGTTTTCTTCTTTTTCTTATAAGCAGGAGATAAAATACCTACGTGGAAGATGTCCTCTCTATACCAGAGGGAAAGTAACATTCTTATAATCAAGGATAGGTAATTGAGGTCAAAGGAAATGTGTACAGATAACATTTATTAGTTTAGCATTTATCTTTTTGGTCACTTTTCCACCCAATTATTTACCCTAGATCAAGTCCCTTTACCTTGCCACATTTTCATAATTTATTACCCTTTGTTTAATTCAGTATATAAGTGTTCAACTCTAACTGCATCTTTAGGCTTTTATAAGGAAGATATATATGTCTCATCAAACTTATATTTAGTAAACACATGTGCTTTGCTCTAGTTGATGTGCATTCTCAGGCCCAGTAGAAAAACCCTCAGAGGGTAGAGGTAAAATTCTGCCTCCCAAGTAATAGAAATAAATAAATGTTTTATAGAATAACTCTAAGTGACATAACTTACTCTTTTTTTTTTTTTTTTTTTTTTAACGGATCTCGCTCCCCACTGAGTGCAGTGCCTCTCCCCCCCCCCCCCCCCCCCCCCCCCCCCCCCCCCCCCCCCCCTTTTATAGAACTCACCTCCTCCCCCCCCCCCCCCCAAGCTGGACACTACCCCCCCCCACTTACTCTTGATTAAAAAGAAATTAAAGGAATGCTACAATTATGGAGGTAGAGCTGCATGGTTTTTAACATTTTTCAAGCATTAAAGTTACACAGACAAGCTTTTCTATCCCAGGTCTGGAATGAATTATTTGTGAGAGGCAACTTAATCATTCTGTCAGGCTCCAAAAGGCCCTGGTGTGGATGTTCCCCTCCCTATGTCCACGTATTCTCACTGCTCAATTCCAATTTATGAGTGAGAACATGTGGTGTTTGGTTTTCTGTTCCTGTGTTAGTTTGCTGAAGATGATGGCTTCCAGCTTCATCTATGTCCCTACAAAGGACATGAACTCATTCTCTTTTTATGGCTGCATAGTGTTCCATGTTGTGTATGTGCCACATTTTCTTTATCCAGTCTATCATTGATGTGCATTTGACTTGGTTCCAAGACTTTGCTATTGTAAATACTGCTGCAGTAAACATATGTGTGTGTGCGTCTATATAGTAGAATGATTTATAAACGTTTGGGTATATACCTAGTAATGGGATTGCTGGGTCAAATGGTGTTTCTGGTCCTCAATCCTTTAGGAATCGCCACACCGTCTTCCACGATGTTTGAACTACTTTACAGTCCCACCAGCAGTGTAAAAGTGTTCCTGTTTCTCCACTGCCTTGCCAGCATCTCTTGTTTCCTGACTTGTAAATAATCACCATTCTGACTGGCCTGAGATGGTATCTATGTGGTTTTGAATTGCTCTTTTCTACTGACCAGTGATGATGAGCTTTTTTCATATGTTTACTGGGCACATAAATACCTTCTTTTGTCTGTTTGCTCTTTTTAATCAATGAATAAATGAATATAAAAACTTCTTGTAGATACTCTTGTCTGTATTAAGCTTCCAGATGTTTAGACAGAAATAACATTAAGCTCTAAGACTACTGACAGAAGAGGCCGTAAACAAGGAGACAATCAGTATTGTTGAGAATGACCAAAACCAAACCCATCCACATCAAACCAAACCAAACCAAACCAAATCAAACCAAACGAAAACAAAACAAACAGCAGTGCTACTTAGCCAAATGTAAGTGCTAAATTAAGTATAGCATGCATATGGAAAATCAAGTGCTGGGGACTATTTGGACATGGCTCAGGAATTAAATTCTACCTTTGGATGCTTTTCACAAAATAAACCCATTGTAGCCAGAGGAAATGCAACAACTTCATTTTTACACATATTGCAACTTTCATGAGACAGTCTGGCAACAGGTCACATATGCCATTATTTCGTTGTTTTTTTCATGAAACAATATGAGAGTAAAGGATTTCAGAACTGAAATATGTCACTCTGGCATACAGAATTTTTGGAGTTAAAGGCACTTTTAAAACAGCAGATGCAAGACAAAACACTCTAGACTTCCTTCTCTTTCTTATAAGCAGGACATAAAATACGACCTACATGAAAATATCCTCTTTATACCAGAAGGAAAGGAACATTCTTATAATGAAGGATTGGTAGTTGAGGCTAAAGAAAATGTGTACAAACAGCATTTGTTAATTTAACATTTATCCTTCTGGTCACTTTTCCACCTAATTAACTACCCTAGATCTAGCCCCTTTGACTTGCCACGTTTTCACAATTCATTACCCTTTGTTTAAATCAGTATATAAGTGTTCAACTCTTACTGCATCTTCCGGCTTTCATAAGGAAGACATACATGTCACGTCAAACTTATATTAAATAAATGCATATGCTTTGCTCAAGTTGATGTGTCTTGTGCCAGTTTCATTCTCAGGCCCAGCAAAAACAAAAAGGAAAAAAAAACAAAGAAAACCCTGAGAGGGTACAGGTAAAATTTTGCCTCCCAATACTAATAAATAAATAAATGTTATAGAACAACTATTAGTGACATAACTTTACTCTTGATTAAAAAGAAATTAAAGGAATGCTACAATTATGGAGGTTGAGCTGCACGGTTTTTAAAATTTATCAAGCATTAGAGTTATACAGACAAGTTTTTTGATCCTAGGTCTGGAATGCAGCATTTGTCAGAGACAACTTACTCATTCTGACAGGTCCCAGTGTGTGATGCTCGCATCCCTGTGTCTATGGATTCTTATTGTTCAACTCCCACTTATGAGTGAGAACATGCGGTTTTTGGTTTTCTGTTCCTGTGTTAGTTTGATGAAGATGATGGCTTCTGGTTTCATCCATGTCCCTGCATAGGACATGAACTCATTCTTTTTAATGGCTGCAAAGTGTTCCATGGTGTTTATTTGCCACATTTTCTTTATTCAGTGTATCACTGATGCACATTTGACTTGGTTCCAAGTCTTTGCCATTGTAAATTGTGCTGCAGTAGACATATGTGTGCATGTGTCTTTGTAGTAGAATGATTTATAAACCTTTGGGTATATACCCAGTAATGGGATTGGTGGATCAATTGTGTTTCTGGTTCTAGATCCTTGAGGAATTGCCACACAGTCTTCCACGATGGTTGAACTAATTTACACTCCCACCGACAGTGTAAACGTGTTCCTGTTTCTCCACAGCCTTGCCAGCATCTGTTGTTTCCTGACTTTTTAATGATTGCCATTCTAACTGGCCTGAGATGGTATCTCATGTGGTTTTGATTTGCACTTCTCTACTGACCAGTGATGATGAGCTTTTGTTCATATGTTTACTGGCCACATAAATGTCTTCTTTTGTCTTTCTGCTCTTTTAAATCAATGAATAAATGAATATAAAAACTCCTTGTAGAAACTTTTGTCTACACTTAACTTCCAGATGTTTAATCACCAGTAACATTAAGCTCTAAGACTACACTGACAGAAGAGACTATAAACAAGAAGACAATCAGCGTTTTTGAGAATGACCAAAGCCAAACCCATCCACATCAAACCAAACCAAAGGAAAACAAAACAAAGCAAACAAAGCAAAACAAACAGCAGTGCTACTTAGCAAAATTTAAGTGCTAAATTAAGCACACGATGCATACGAAAAATCAAGTGCTGGGGACTATTTGGCCATGGCTCAGGAATTAAATTCTCCCTTTGGATCTTTTTCACCAAATAAACCCATAGAACCGAGGAAATTTAACTTCATTTTTACAAATATTGCAACTCCAATGAGACAGTCTTGCCAACAGGTCACATATGCCATTATTTCTTTATTTTTTTTCATTTAACTTAATACGATAGTGAAGGAGTTCAGAACATGATGCCCCGAAATATGTCAGTCTGGCATATAGACTCTTTTGAGTTAAAGGCACTTTTAAAACAGCAGATGCAAGACAAAACACTCTAAGCTTCCTTCTTTTTCTTATAAGCAGGAGATAAAATACCTACGTGGAAGATGTCCTCTCTATACCAGAGGGAAAGTAACATTCTTATAATCAAGGATAGGTAGTTGAGGCCAAAGGCAATATGTACAAACAACATTTGTTAATTTAACATTTGTCTTTCTGGTCACTTTTCCACCCAAGTAATTACCCTAGATCAAGCCCCTTTGTGTTGCCACATTTTAATAATTTATTACCATTTGTTGAATTCAATATATAAGTGCTCAACTCTACCTGCATCTTAGGCTTTCATAAGGAAGACATGCATGTCACGTCAAACTTGTATTAACTAAACACATGTGCTTTGCTCAAGTTGATGTGTTTTGTGCCAATTTCATTCTCAGGCCCAGCAGAAAAACCCTGAGAAGGTAGAGGTAAAATTTTGCCTCCCAGCTAATAGAAATAAATAAATGTTTTATAGAACAAACAATTAGTGACATAACTTACTCTTGATTAAAAAGAAATTAAAAGAATGCTACAGTTATGAAGGTCGAGCTGCATGATTTTTAAAATTTATCAAGCATTAGAGTTATACAGCCAAGGTTTTTGATCCTAGGTCTGGAATGTATTATTTGTGAGAAGCAACTTACTTATTGTATCCTGTATATTTTTTGTCTGTAAATGGATTTTCTTGTACCTGTATCCTAGCCTAATGAAGATTAAATTCAAAAAACAGAGTATAGTATATTTAACATTAGCTCACTAATTCACAAACTCTTAAAAAGAAAATTATCTGTAACAAGCCCATAGAACTGATGTTATGTGGGGTGTTTTTTTTTTTTAATAGATATAGACATAGATCCTCCTAGTTTTAAAACTTGAAACTTAAATTTGTCTTATTTGAGTTCCTTCTTTAGGCATCTGATCTTTAGGCCTCGCAGATAGTAACAGGAAACTGAAAGTCACCAGATCACCACTTCCAGACCACGGACTCCTCACCATCATGATTGCCTCACCGACCACCTGTTCCCTGTTGACCGACTCTTCTTCCCTATCCCTCCCTAATTCCTGTTGACCAGGCCTAACATCCTCGTTATCTTTCCCTAATTCTTGTTTTCTCACAAATAGTTACCTTTCTTTCCTGCTACATGAACCCCTAATTTTAGTCAGTTGGTAGGCGAATTTGAGACTGATCTCCCATTCTCCCTGTTGACACCACCCAAATAAAAATCCTATTTCCCTGGCAGTAGTCATTGTCTCCGGGATTGCCTTTCTGTGCCGTGGGCAATGGGACCTAGACTGAACCCCCGGCATTTCAGTAACATAGCTATTGCTGTTGCCATCTGGTGGTCATCTAAGAATTTAAGATTATTTTTCTTAAGCGTCAAGGACTATAAAGTCAAGAACATAATTCTACTGTAAAACTGAGAGTGTTTTGAGGAGAGGCAAGGATTATGGTAAAAAATGTTGAACTGGTAAAAACTTGAGTACAAGTGTCTACAAAACCCTTAATCACTCTAGATCTGGGAGATTTGGAGTTAAATGTGAGATATACATAGACCCATCAGGTGTGAAGAACCATAGAAAGTGTATGAATTAAACCACTCACCTATCATAATAATGCAAGCTGCAAAAATAATCACGAAGCACACACAAAGGCAAATCTTCCAGTTTGGTTTAAAGTTGCAAACTGCAAATTAAATCAACACATATTATAAAATTTCTGAATAAGCACTGGATATTATTACTGGTGTATTCCTCTCCTATAATTGTTAATCAGGAAACCCTCAATCAAGTATATACATCTCAAAATAACAAAGGATAGCAAACCATCACAAAGTACAAGGAAGGTAAGTACCAAAAAATGATTGCTATAGCTGGTCAGCTGGAAAGAGTGGTGAGTGGAGAAATCACTTAGTCTTGGGGGAATGAGGAAAGAAAGGAAAGGTTACTCAAAAGGTAGAAATAGTTTGAATGGGGGATTGTAAGCAAAAAAGCACAAAGATCATCAAAAGGTCCATGATTAGAACAAATGTTTATAACAGATATAGAAGGCAGCAGAATTGAAGACAGGAAAGAAAGGAGTCATAAGGTCATGACAGAAGACCTTAAATGAGAGATACATTTTTTCTTTATTCTTTAAGCCATGGAGGAAAGAAACAATGTGTTTCAGCAAGAGAATATTCAAGATAAAAGCAGTAATTTATTTATTTGTGGTAAGCAAAAAAAATTAGAGAGGACTGAGGATTTGACACTCATGGAAATGCTGTGAGGTTAAGAACAAATAATAATTCTATTAATGATAAAGTAATTGTAGCTGATATATGATTAGTAGATGTAGAAACAATCTAGGAAGAATGTGTGTGTGTGTGTGTGTGTGTGTGTGTGTGTGTGTGTGTACAGTCATGCATAGCTTAACAATGGAGAGATATTTTGAGAAATGTGCCTGTAGGTGATTGTGTCATTGTGGGAGCATCATAGACTGTGCTTACACAAACTTAGACGGTACAGCCTACTAACACCTAGGCTATATATGACAGACTGTTGCTCCTAGACTACAAACCTGGATAGCATGTTATTGTACTAATTACTGCAGACAATTATAACACAATGCTAAATACTTGCATCTGAACATAGAAAAGGTACAGTGAAAATACCATATAAAAGATCAAAAACGGTACATCTTTACAGGGCAGCTTCACTGTAATCTCATGGGACGATTGTCATTATGCAATCTGTCACTGACCAAAACATTGTTCTGCCGTGCATGACTATATGTGCATATAGTACACATGTGCATAACACAGATTATATATACATATATGTATGCATGCCTATATGCATATATATGCTTTATATGTATGTAAATATACATGTACATATACAAACATATGTTTAAGTATTAGAAAACAGGACTCGAAGAAAGAAAAATTTAAAAAGAAGTCATAGGCTTTCTCTCTTTCTTCAGAGCTTAAAGCAGCCTTAGTGAATGAAAACTCAAAGTTATTAGTTTTCATGATCACCCAACAACAGATAATGTGCAACAAAGTAACTTCAAGAAGAGATTGAGAGAAGCCAGATTCTAAGATGTTTACAAAGAGAATGTTTGATAAGAAGAAGAGTTTGGTAATTTATCTTACATCAAGAGAAACAATAGCTAAAGATAGAAAATACAAAATGTGTTGTTTTTTTTTTTTTTCCTCAAGATTAGGGAGAAATGAAGAACAAGGAAGAGGAAAAGACAAAAACCACTGCACAAATTTCAGATACTCGAAAGAGTAATTTATGGGCAAAGCCACGTCTCACACAAATGGTATTGAAACAACTGAGAAAAAAAGACTTTACCGTACTATAACATCATTTTACAAAATGTATTTAAGACATTTCATTGACCTGAACATAAAACTTGAAACCATAAAATTTCTAAAACACGTAAAATAAATTTTGTGACCATGAGAATTAGTAAAGATGTCTTAGAGAGAGAAGAGAAAGTACAGTGTAAAATTAAAAGAAAATACTAAATTGAATTTAATTGAAATTTAAGTGCAAGGCATGGTGGCTCATGCCTGTAATCCCAGCACTTTGGGAGGCCAAGGCGGGTGGATCACCTGAGGTCAAGAATTTGAGACCAGCCTGGCCAACATGGTGAGACCCCTTCTCTACTAAAAATACAAAAAATTAGCCAGGCATGGAGGCAGGCACCTGTAGTCCCAGCTACTCGGGAGGTTGAGGCAAGAGAATACTTGAACCCAGGAGGCGGAGGCTGCAGTGATCAGAATTGTGCTACTGCACTCCAGCCTGGGCGATAGAGTGAGGCTCTGTCTTAAAAAAAAAAAAAGAAAGAAAGAAAGTAAGAAATTTAAAACTGCCCATTTTAAAATACAAGACACTGTTGTGAATATAAATATGCAAGTTACGGACTGAGAGAAAATAGTTGCAACACATGTATGCAACTAGAAAGACTAGTATCGAAAATATTAAAAGGTCTGTAATTTAGAGATATAGTACAAACAACTTGATTAAAAAAATGAACCAAAGTACTGAACAAATACTTACAAAAGAATACACGCAAGTGACCAATAAGGACATAAAAGATGTTCCATATTATTAGTCACAAGCAAAATGCAAAATAAAACCACAATGGAATATGACTACTTGTCACTTGTACTGTTAAAATGAAAAAGACAGACAGTATCAAGTGTTAGCAGGATATAGACCACCCAAAACACATACACCACTGGTTGAAGTACAAAAATGTATAAGTGTTTTGGAAAACTCTTCAGCAGTTTTTATTTTTAATTAAAATACATGTCCTTCATTCCTGCTCTGGCATGCGATATTTACAATAGATTGGAAGTCATCCCTACTGTTCTCATGGTGACAACAAAAAATGCTGAAAAAAACTAAATAAAAACAACACTTCTAGTATACCGAAATAGTATTGATTTGTTAAATGTGCACTTTTAAGCAACCTTGTTGAACTCTGGTATTATTTCCAATAGTTTTCTAGTTGATTCTGTTGGTATTTATTTTTATATAATCAAATTATCTGAAAATATTGCAGATACAACTCTTCTATTGCAATCCTTTTCCTTTATAATTCCCTTTGTTTTCTTATATCACTGGCTACCTTTAGCATATACTACACTATCGCTAAACAGTAGTAGTTACAGTGAACATTTTTTCTTGTTTTTAATCTTAAACGGAATGTTTAAATTTTCATTATTAAGCACTGTAAAAATGCTGTATAAATTTAACATACAACATTAGCAATTTAAAAAAGAATTTTTCTATTCCTAGTTTCTTAAGAGGAACTTATCTCACACATTGAATGTTGTCAAATGTTTTCTTGTTATCAAATACACTTACTGAATAATCGTGTGGACTTTCAAAAATTTTTAATGGGATAGCTTGCACTGCTGTTCTGATATCAAAGCACTCCTAAGATAAATCCACTTAAATATGAATTTTTAACTGCTTTGTTGTATATAGTAAATAAATATTTTCTTGGGATTTCTATTTCTAATTTCATAAGAAGATGAGTCTGTTTCTTATTGTCTTGTTCTGACCTTGTTTGGAAATCAAAAAGTCTATTAAGTTGGGGTAAATTTCTCATTTTGCTATTTTTTGAAGCAAGATGTCCAATACAAAAATTAGCTATTTCTTGAAAGATCAGTAGATCACTCTATTTTAGTTGCCTTTTCAATTTATTTTTAATTTCTATAGTTCTACAATTATGTATTTATTCTCGTTGCATTTTATATTTTTTAGACCTCCCTGTTCTTTTTCTTATATTTATAAATGCATTAATGTTTTAGTTTGCTAGGTCTGCCCTAATACGTTGTCACAAACTGGGCGGCTAAAATGAACAGGAATGCATTGTCATACAGTTCTGGAGACAAGAAGTCTGAAATTAAGATGCTGGTAGGATGGGTTCCTTATGAATCCTGTAAGGAAAGAATCTGTTCCAGGCTGTTCTCCTCGGCTTGAAGATGGCATTCTCCCTGTAAATGGGTCTGTCTCTAAATTTTTCTTTTTTATGCAAACACCAGTAATATTACATTAGGGCCCACCCTATCGACCTAATTTTAATGTGGTGGAGACACTATCACCAAACCAGGTCACATTCTGAGGTAGAGGGGGTTAGAGCTTCAATATATAAATTTTTAAGACAACAGAGTTTGCCCCATAATGATTGATGAATTATTTCCATAATGTTTTATTAAATTTTAGTATTTGTGGTTTTTGTGATTATTTGTACTTTTTTGACGTTTTGTTTAATGTATCTTCTTCTGCAAACTTTTAGACATCTTGTTCTTTAGTCTTTTCTAATAGCCACCATTTGATTTGTTATCCTTCTCATTTCTTCTCTTTTTCATTAACATCTCCTGTTACCTCTATTTTTTATTTTGTATATTTTTATTTCACTCCATTGTGCCAAGATACATGTTTTTTCTTATCTATTTTGTTTGCACACTTTTGAAGTTTCAAAAAGTGTTTGGCTTTTATTAATTTTAGAAGTTGGAATATTATTTCTTCAAATATTTCCTACCCACTATTCTTTTTCTCTCTCTCTCCGTTTCAGATTCTTCTTATCTAGAAGGTAGCATTTCTACTTCTATTTTTCATATCTTTCAGCTTTTATTTTATATTTTCTAACTGTTTTCTTTTCTGTCATGTTTATAATAGCGTCTCCTAGGTCTTATTCATTCTTAATCAGCATCCATTCTACTAATTAACTCCTCAAAATGTTCTTTATTTCAAAGATTATATTTCTATAACTATTATTTTCTCTTGGTTTTTATTGCGTTCTTGGCTCTTCTTCATTTTATTTCTTTTCTTTTGGAACATTTTTATTATGCTTCAATTAAATTCTCAAAATAGATGTTCTAATGATTCCTACAGTCCGGTTTTCTCATAATCTTTCAGTAAATCCTTCATATTTTGCCTCTTTTCATTATGCAATGAGACAAATTTTCTTCCACTTTATACTCTCTAAATTCTTAAATCTGTTACCCAGACAAGCCTGACTAATTTATTTGGATAAAGGAATGGAATCTTATTTCTTTTTGTAATACTAATGTCCAGTTGTGTAAAATTTAGAATAACTTAAAAAAATTTTCTCATAAAGTTTTCATAGATCAAGAGTTCGTAACTATGACCGATAGTTAGAATATACAAGGAGGTAAATTTAACCTTACCCTAAAGAAACTTCTAACTAGAACGTCCCTAAATTAAAATGGAAAGTCTTCTAAGACTGAGAGATGTTATTACTGAAAACATTCTAGTCTAGGCTGCTAGAAGTGCTATAGCTAGAAATGGCACGGTAGATGAAAAATTTTATTAGGTAGCTACTGAGGTCTCTTCAAACTTTAAGAGTATCAGGCTTACTTCTTATTAAGAGAATTATCCCAGTTGTCCTGGGAATTCATACCAGTAAACTTTAACAGAGGTTTCAGCTGGAGTCCGTAACTGATTTCAAGATTTTACTTTTTATCTCTTCACTGTCTTTATCTTAAAGTTTTGGCAGGCTTCCTATTCCAGTCATTTGGCATACAATTCATTTGTTTTCTTTAACATAAACCCTCTGAACTATTGTGAATGGAGGGCGTTTGTATGTGTACCTTGTTTTTATTTATTGGTTTGTTTATGTTTCAATCCACTGAAAACCAACTCCATTGTTAGCCTTAGCTGAATCTTACACTTTTTGAAAAGTTCTTTTCAGTCTCATTAAGTCACAATCGTCAAGCCTCCTTCCAGAGTGAAGCATTTGCTTTTTATTCTGTATAAAAGTGTTAAGCAATTTTTTTCCTGTGAAAGTACATTTTAAAAACATCCTTATTGAGATATAATACACGTACCATAAAATTCTCCCCCAAACCTTCCTACACACAAGCTTATACCCTCTCTTGCGGGCGTAAAACTCTACATGCTCTAGGAGGCTTCCACAATCCTCCAGAAGTGCTTCCCCATGCCTCACTTTAGTAGACTTTCAGCGTAAGTAAAGAGTCCACATTTTTAAGCTGTCCTGTATTTTATCTTTCCTTTACTTCCTTCTCATTCACTCTGTAAAACTTACTTGTCCGACGTCTGAAGCCATCAGGTCTGCCATCCCGCAGCTCTGGATTAATCATGACGAGGTGCTAACTGATGGAGATCAGCAGGAGAGGAGTGCAAGGTCTTTTATGTACATCACTTACTTAGGCGCTGAGAAAGCTTCAGTCAAAAGAGGCTCTTACCCAATCCAAATGAAAAAAATTAGTACTAATTCTAGATCAAAGATAAAAGTAGGCAGACTTGTTAGTTTAGGGAAGGAATTTAAAAATTAACTCATCCGGCCGGGCGCGGTGGCTCAAGCCTGTAATCCCAGCACTTTGGGAGGCCGAGACGGGCGGATCACCAGGTCAGGAGATCGAGACCATTCTGGCTAACCCGGTGAAACCCCATCTCTACTAAAAAATACAAAAAACTAGCCGGGCAAGGTGGCGGGCGCCTGTAGTCCCAGCTAATGTAGTCCCAGCTACTCGGGAGGCTGAGGCAGGAGAATGGCGTAAACCCGGGAGGCGGAGCTTGCAGTGAGCTGAGATCCGGCCACTGCACTCCCGCCTGGGTGACAGAGCGAGACTCCGTCTCAAAAAAAAAAAAAAAAAAAAAAAAATTAACTCATCCATAACAAAAGGATCATGAAGTCAATCACGTAAACACTGCAACAACCATGCTATGGAGAGTTTCCATCATCTTTCTTTTTTTTCCTTTTGTAATCACTATCTTTCCTGACCCTGGATCCTGGCAAGCATTAATTTGCTTTCTATCAACATAGTTTTTCCTTTCATGACAATTTTTTTTTTTGAGACAGGGTCTCACTGTGTTGCCCAGGCTGGAGTACAGTGGGGAAAACTTGGCCCACTGCAACCTTGACCTCCTTGGCTCAAGCAATCCTCCTGCCCTAGCCACCCAAGTAGCTGGGACTACAGTCAGGCGCCATCATACCCTGCTAATTTTATTTTTTGTAGAGACTAGGTCTCATTATATTGTCCAGACTTTTCTCGAACTCCTGGGCTTAAGTGATCCTCCGGCTTCCGTCACCCAAAGTCCTAGGATTACGGGCGTGAGCCACCTTTCACAGAATTTTAAGAAATTTACACTATATTATATAATATGTGGTGTCTTGTCTGGCTTATTTCATTTATAATGCTTTTGAGATTCACTCAAGTTGTTGGGCATGTAAATAGTTCATTCCCTTTTATTTCCTAGTAGTATTCCTATTGTACGTTATAACAGAAATTATCTGTTCGATCACCAGTTGATGGACTTTTGTTTCTAGGGTGTGACTATTATGTATGAAACTGCTGTAAACAAGCACTTTTGTGTGGGCAAGTTTTCTCTTGGATAAATTCCCAGAAGTTGAATTGCTGTATCATATAAATATGTCTATCTTTATAAAAAGCTGTCAAAGTGTTTTTCCAAAGTAAGTGTATGAGATTCAGTTTCCTTCAACAATATATGAGAGTTCCAGTTACTTCACATCTTCAACACCAAGTGTTATTGTCTATCTCTTTTAATTTTAGCTCTTCTAATACATATGTATTGATCTTTCATATGGTTTCAGGGTTTCAGTTTACATTCTTCTAGCGACTAATCATGTTGAGCATCTTCCTCACATTGATCATATGTCTTCCTTGGTGACATGTTTGTGCAATACTTTGCCAGTTTTTGATTGGGTTGCCTATTATTAAGTTATGAGTTCTTTTTGAATATTGGATATGAGTCACTCATTGTATATATGTTTTGCAAATGTTCTTTCCCAGTATATGATGTTATTATTTACTTCTTCACACTTTTTTTGAAATGTCAAAAGTATTTCTTTTAAATAAAGTCAAACGTATCATTTTTTCCATGGTGTTTAAGTTTTGTATCTTCACTGTGAAACCTTTGCCTATCTCAAGGTCACAAAGATCACCCCATTTTTTCCTGGCCTTTTTAAACTTTTAGCTCTCATATTTAAGTTTTTGGTTCATTTTGATAAAAACTTTGCATATGGGATACTTCACATAAAAATCAATGTAAAATTTTCAAAATATGAATATCCCAATGTTCCAGGACCATTTGCTGAAAAGATTACCTTTCTTTTTTAAGTTACTTTGTCACTTACCTGAAAATTCAGTCTCCTTTAATTAGTACTCAGCAATGTTTTAGAGTTTTTAGTGTACAACTTTTGCACGTACATCATCAATTTTATCCCCATGTATTTTATATTTTTGATATCAGTGCAAATGGTATTACAGAATGAACTTAAATTTTCAATTGTCTGGCTGGACACACTGACTCATGCCTGTAATCCCAGCACTTTCAGAGGCCAAAGCAGGCGGTTCACGAAGTCAGGAGATCAAGACCATCCTGGCTAACATGGCGAAACCCCGTCTCTACTAAAAAAAAAAAAAAAAAAAAAATTAGCCTGGTGTGGTGGTGGGCACCTGTAGTCCCAGCTACTCGGGAGGCTGAGGCAGGAGAATGGTGTGAAACCGGGAGGAGGAGCTTGCAGTGAGCCAAGATCGTGCCACTCCAGCCTGGGTAACAGAGCGAGACTCCATCTCAACAACAACAACAACAAAAAATTCCAATTGTCTGTTGTTAGGATGTAGGAAGGTATTTTTGTTTATTGACTTTGCATCTTCAGACTTTGCTGAACTATTCGCTTATTTGTTCTATTATCTGTTTTTTAGATTCCTTAGGATTTCCTGCAGAGGTGTTTATGCCACGGTGAATAAAGGCCACTTTATTCTTTTCTAATAAGCATTTCTTTTCTTTCTTTTTCCTGCCTTATTTTACTGCTAGCACCAGCATAAATGTCGAATAAAAGGGGGAGATTTCCTATTCCTGCAAGGTCTCCAGTCTTAGTTCGAGAAAACCATTATCTTCTCTGTAAGGTATGCTAGCTGTAGGGTTTTGAAGACGCTGTTTATTGGCTTAAGAAAGTTTCCTTCTATTCTTAGTTTACTGATCTGGCTAGATGTTTATCCAGCTTTGAACTGGATAAAAGTTGATCTTTCCAAAACACCAGGTATTGTTTCCATTAATTTTCTCTTTCAGTTTTCTCATTTTTATTTCATTGTTTTCACTTCCACTCTTTTTTACATTAGGTTTAGTTCTCTCTTGTTTTTCTTTTTAAATATAGAAGCCTAGATTAACTTAAGGCTTTTCTTCATTTCTAACATTAGCATTGCATTGCTCTCCATTTCCTCCTATGCACTCTTTTAGCTTCATCCCGCAAAACAAGGTTGTGTTCACATTTACGTTCAGTTCAAAATATTTCATAATTTTCCTTGTAATTTCTTCTTTTTCCTATGCATTAATTTGGGGTCTGTTTTTACATTCTAAATATGTGGGGATTTTCCAGATACAATGTGGGTTACCATTTCCTAGTTTGATTCTGTTGTGATTAAAGGAATACTTTCATTTTTTAAATTCTTCGACATTTATTTAATCTTTTTTTGTGACCCAGGTATGGTCTGTCTTGAATTTTTTGCATGAACTTGATAAAAGAAGTAAACTCTGCTATTGTTGGATGGCTATTTCATAAGTATTAACAAAAGTTTGGTTAATAGTGTTGTCTAGCCTTCTTCTATAACTTACTCTCTAATTATTCTATCAATAACCGGCAGAAGGTGGTTGAAATTCCCAATTATAATTGTGTATGTCTACCTCTCCTTTCAATTCAGTTTTTGTTTCTTGTATTTTAAATCTCTCTTATTAGATGCACACACAATTATGATTATGTTCTCTTGATGAATTGACCTATTTATCATTATGAAATGTGCTTCTTTATCCATAGTAATGTGCCTTTTATGGAAGTCTACTTTATCTTCTAGTAGATATAGCCACTCCAGTTTTTTACTATATACATTTTATATAGTAAATATACAGTATATATTTACTATATATTTACTATATAAAGACACTATATATGTATTTTATATGCACATGTATGTGCATATACATGTAAATATATTAATGTATGTAATGTATGTTTATATATGTCTAAATATGTGGCATATGCATATACATGTATATGTGTATTTAGAGTGTATAAATAGGCAGGTATTTGTGTGTTCTAGAATATATGAATACAGGCATCTATATTTCAGTAAATGTGTCTGTGTGAGTGCTTATATGTGTAGATGTGAAAATTGAAGTTTTCACACCAAATTACAGAAGATAGGAAGTACTAAAGTGAGATCCCAAATATCCTACAAGGATTTTCAGAATAAATGAGTAAGACACTCCTCTACCAACTTCCTTTGTTCAATATTTGTTTTTTTGTTTGTTGTTTTGGTTTTTTTTTTTTTTTTTTTTTTTTTTTTTTTTTTGATACGGAGTCTCGCTCTGTTGCCCAGGCTGGAGTGCAGTGGCCGGATCTCAGCTCACTGCAAGCTCCACCTCCCGGGTTCACGCCATTCTCCTGCCTCAGCCTCCCGAGTAGCTGGGACTACAGGCACCCGCCACCGCGCCCGGCCAATTTTTTTGTATTTGTAGTAGAGACGGGGTTTCACCGTGTTCACCAGGATGGTCTGGATCTCCTGACCTCGTGATCCGCCCGCCTCAGCCTCCCAAAGTGCTGGGATTACAGGCGTGAGCCACCTTTGTTCAGTATTTGACATTAGCTTTTTGTCCAAAGAGTTTAAGCTTGCTGGAGGTCTTTGCTCAAATAATAAATACCGCATGTTTCCCAGTGTGTTCAGGTATAGGCACTGGGTACTGTCTGTTTACTCCATGTTAGGCACATTACATCCATTGGCTAACCAAATCCTAGTCAATTACCTATGTCATACTCTCAACCAACTGGCCTCCTTGTATTATAAATGGAAATAATCCTGTTTATTTAAACATGTTTTCATGTACCTGCGGGGATTACTCAGGAAATTCGAAGGGCCTTTTTTATACCTTTCCCTAGTTTGAGCTCCCTGTTTTCATTAACAGATAAAACAACCTATTTGCTTCAGCCTGGAATCAGTCTTTGCTTTTGGTGCTTCAGTGCAGAGACAGGAAACGGACACTCAGAGTTACACTGGTAGTTGCACACTGTATCTACAGAGGGCGTGTCTCATCTGTACCCTGCTGAGTTACAGGATTTCAG